CACTATAGATGACGTCGTCATCATGACGATACTGTGGACGTTCAACCCAACTTTGCGGCCGAGAAAATTTTGATATCGCAGGATGAGAAAATTCACCATAGAAATGACGTTCTACGTCGCTATTGGTCGGACAAGAGCTTCTCCAACCTGCTCACCAAGTCGCAGGGCAGGACGATAATGACTACTGACTTCTTGTCGGAGATTTACGGGTTCGTCAAGTACAACGCATGTGATCCCCTTGTACTAGGGGAAAAGACAGGCTCAGTAGTCGATGTCCCTACCGATGGGTATTACAATAGTAAGCGCTGTCAAGTTTATTTTCAAGAGTGTAGCGAGGCCGTTGAAGGGCTCACAGCTTCTGATGGTCAAAGGCTTCTTTCTAACTGATCGGAGTCCGATCCATTGCAAGTTTGCTGGAGACGCCCTTAATGCCCGAACGATGAATGTCAAGCCTGGTGGAAGGCAAGTTGCCTTAGGCAACCCAAGATGCGTGATATTTGGTTCTTATCGAACGAAAGTAGAAAGGCGCAGAGCATGGTATTCCCTGCTATCCGTCCAGTGTATCGCGGCCTCCCTAAGGGTCTACGGGAGGCTTGTAGAGAGAGATTTGGAGCAGAGGCCATCTCCGGGAAGCGACATGAGGATCTGGTGGGGCTGTTGTCGGCTTGCGAAGATTTCAAGAACCAGGCGACTATCCTTGAAGATCAGGCCGCAGAGAGGGGACGTAGTGATATTTGGCGTCAGGTTTCATCCGGAGCTGGCGGCGCCAGTTCCAAAGAGGGTCTCCAATACTTTAGGATTATCGAAAAGATCCAAAGACAGAGTGGAGGGAGCCCAAGATGCTGAAGACCTTACAATCGAGTTGATTTGCAAGCACTTCAGTCGTGCTGATCCGAAGTCTTCGGATCAGCACGCGAGTATCTCGCACTCTATCGAGAAGGAAAATCACTGAATGAGATTGAGAAGCGGAAGCACAGAGGCGCAGCTCCGGGCCTTCGGTTGTCCCCCACCCGGTCACGCAAGGGAAAATATCCGAGAAATCGTTTAGGCTGATCTTTTCTTTTCAGCAACGCTTCTTATACTTCCTAAGCTTTTGGTTGGGTCAATTCAAATTCAACTTTCCAGATTCTGGTAGTCGTAGGATGCTGGAAGTTTCGCCTAGTACCACCACATCGGTGAATTTCACCAAATTCACAAATTTTTACAAATTTTTCAAAAATGGGAGGAAAAAATTTGTTTCCGTGAATTTCGTTTGTGATTTATTTTAACAATATAAGTGTTAGGAAAGCCTATATACAAAAGTTCAGCTCATTTTGAGCTTCGGGTAAAAAGTTATGCCGGTGACATGAAACGGACTCTATAGATTGCGCGTACTGTACACCTTCAGAGAACAGCGTTCAACCAGCGGCATGCGAATCTGATCCACTCCCAAAGCAATTCAACCCGAACACTTAGCCCTTCAGGCACCACGGTTGGTGGTACCTGCAGGGCTAAGGCAAACAAGTGATATAAAAAGAGAAATAACTGAGGAGATCTTAGTAATGGCGTAGGTTGCGAAGTGACACGATGAAAGCC